GAGGTTGGTTTTTGTACCATCACATGTCAATGCCTTTATTTAGATTCCAGTTTTGTGAACAAGATAGAAAGCTTGTGTTACTAGCCGTGCTTTTATTTCAGCTCTCGTACCCTTAATCAAAAAGTTGGCTATGGATACTCTCCATGTTGTGTTTATACTGACCAATAAAAACACTAACGCGTCAGTAGCTTCATCGGAATTATCGGATATAAAATCGAACCCGTAATCGGCATAGCCATAATGCCTTTGGCTGCTAGCATGGTATTCCATCAATTGCTTCATTTTTATTTCATCCGTGACCAAGGTACAATAAATTTTTATATCAGGGAGTGTATATAAAAATTTATATAAATTTTTATATATACACTCCGCTCTCAATTTTAATGCCTTCAGTGCTTCTTGAGTAAACCCTAGTCGGCCATCAATAGTACTGTATCACTTAGTCCATGTCCGTGGTGCAGGCAAACATGTTCCAAAAGTTTTACGTACATAGCAATAGGCTTTTGGTGAGTAATAATTAAGTGTTAGGGCAAAACATCTTAACTCTGGGGAATATTTAGTTCCGGGCAGTTTTGCAGTCTTGTCTCATTAAGAGTTCACATTCTTCAATTTCTATCTTTTCTGAACCTGTTTGTTTTCTTTATTTATCAACTAGCGACCCGCCCCGGCTTCGCTCGTGTGTAATGCTGATACTAAATACACTACAGAAAAACTGTGAATGTTGTATATAAAAACATAGCGGCCCGCTCCAGTTTTGCACGGGTATAAAATATATAGGTAGCCTATGTGAAAAGTGGCTATATGATAGATGGCTCGACTCAGCTTGGGGATAGCCCTAAGCTGAGTCGAGCCTCACGTTCTGTTGACGATTCTTCATCTCTTTGTGAACATACTCTTCTGGCATTCACTTTACTATGACCTATGTTCGAACAACGACATCTTCCAGACATGACTTTATAATTTCTGTACAAAATTTACTCAGTTCTAGACTTATGTATGATTACCTATGAACAAATTGCCATATTATTAGTATGTGCCGCAGTAAAAAATATCTAAATACTTACCATTTAGGGACAAATGATTATCAACAATCATAAAAAAACCAAAGATACCTATTCTATTCAGTACTTTTTTTAACTGAAATACCTTAAACTACGATTTTAATTAAATCAACTTAAACTACGATTTTAATTAAATTAAAAATACTTAAAAAATAATTTGCTATTCATGGGCCTAAAAACAAAAGATAATCAACAATCATCAAGAACAAAAGACACCTATTCTATTAAGTTCTTTTTCTGAACTTACTTACTTACGATTTTACGAATATTAAATTGATCTAACTCTAAATTTTAACCAATATCTTAATAGAAAATTCCAATCCATAAATTATGGTTTTATTAAATCTAATCTTATCTGACCTTATGTACTTATAATTAATATACCTAAGTGCGATTTAAAAATTAACCTTAGAATAGATTATCATTTATATTTTAAAACTACTATCATACAATTATTTATCGTAACTTACTTATAATTACCTACCTACCTATAAATACATACCTATAAATACCTACTGATACATTGTCGCGCTGAAAAGCACGTTTTTATTCAGTATTGTTATTTTCCTCGCTAGAGAGCTCTGATAATAAACGCGTCCGATTGCTGCTAAATTCAAAGTGCTATAGGGAGAACCGCGGCTTCCGACGCGCTATTTATAGGCATGCTCCCGCCACCCCGTCCGGCCGGAACCACCGCAAACGCTACGTCTCGCAATTTTTAAATCTGTAATATCTTCGAAAATATTCATTTAAATCATATGCTGTAAAGGGCCATATAGATCTATATTAAATCAACAATGTATTTAAGGTATTTAATTGGATAAGGGTTAATGCTGTATTGGTTAAAATCGCTTCGAAAATTAGCCATTATTTGTCGTAAAAAGCAAATGACAAAAAAATGTTATTGTGGGATATCCATAAGAGATAAACATATACCATCGCGGAGTTTTCTGTAGACCTTTTTAATTGTAGAATAATACAGTACGTTATTTTGATAAATCTTGTAGGGTTCAGCCTGCGTTTGCAATGTATAAGCGGAAAAAATGAAATTATTTACGACATCACATTAAAAACCTCAAAAATAACAGTATTTCTCCACTATTTAATGGATGTTATTATACATATAAGCTTTATAAACTTTCCTCTTGAATCACTCTATCTATTAAAAAAAACCGCATCAAAATCCGTTGCGTAGGTTTAAAGATTTAAGCGTACATAGGGATATAGGGACAGAAAAAGCGACTTTGTTTTATACTATGTAGTAGAAGATGTCTCTGTCAGCTAATCTAGTATTTCTTGCAAACTTGTAACTTTTTTTTAAATACCGTTTTTACGATTGAAGCCTTTTTATGCTTATGTTTTTTATGTTAAGGCATTTTTTCGGTTTAATTTTCCTTGTCGTAGCTTCTAAGTTTTGGCTCGTACTTGCAGTGGGAGTAGGACTAGTTGGGGCTATATAAGGAATTTTCTTCGAATTTTGGCTTCCGAAACAACTATTGGAATTTTCCGGAACATCTAGCTTTCTTTTTTCGATGTAGATGATGTTGTACAATCACTACAATCAGCCTAAAATAAATAATTTACTGATGTAAGTCTATAAGTATAAGTAAGTGTATATATACAAAGTGATACCAATTTATTTTTATAAAAATGCACACTTGCTGCGAGGTAGCAAGTTTCGATTTGACTTATTTGCCCTTTATTTTGTACAATATTTTGATAAATACTAGTTATCGATTATATTAAATTATATAATATTCAGAATCGTGTTGAAATTGAGCTGAATATATAAATTATTTATCAAAATCCACTACACATTTGGTACGTGGTAGAGCCATGCTGCAGTTATATTAGATGTATAGTTGTAGCACGAATGGGTCGGCTCGACCGGGGAAGGACCACGCTCTCACAGAATACCAGCGTGAAATAGTAGCTTAATGCTGCTGTATTTCGTATGGTGAGTGTAGAGAACCGGCGACCCATTTTACTGGAAACGAGGCATTCCATCTTAGTCCTCACGGGTGACAACACATCTGCATTTTGATTCGTAATCGAGGATAGATGTAGATGTCTATGGGCCACAGCAACCACTTACCATCAGGTGGACTGTGTGCTCGATTGTCACCCTATCCTATAAAAAAAAAATTACACATCTATATGTATTGATTATTATTCATCACTAACTGATTTAGTTATTAGGAAATACATTTTTGTTAATATTGTGTAGTAAATTATAATTATTAAAAATAGATTATTTTTCACTTTATGAACTATGATGGCAACATTTGTTATTTGACGAAAATATTCAGAAAGTACGAGTTTTAATGATAATATTATTTTATATTATGTTAAAAATACTCACAGATGAAAAGTCACGTTTTCCTTTTGTAGATTTGACGTTCTTGATTGTTTTTTGCATGTAAACTGCACTACACTGCACTACACTGCAATTCGGCATTTTGTCGGAGCTCGATTTACTGGCACGACCACTTGCGGTATGGCGCGTGACGCGAAACAACTAGTTTTATATAACGAGCATGAGTTGGACTCTCGTACTTGCGATGCCGCCTCATTTGGTTCAATACTCAAAGTCACCATCATTACAGACCTATAAAAGTCAACTGCTAAACATAGGCCTCCCCACAAATTGGTTATTAAGGGTGATTTATACCACTTACATGCAAAGGCATTTTGTCCACTTCCCTTAAATATGTTCAAGGGGTGAGTTGGCTGCCACGTGCATCATACTTACGAACAGGTGCTGCTTTGCCACAAGTAGCTCCTGTTTATTCTGTCTGGCCAAGTTTGATAGATCATACTTCAGTTACCGATGGGTCTTTAATGTCTTCTAATCTATTTATTTGTATGCTATTATAATATTAACATAAAAATTAGAAGTCTCTAATTGTCACCAATTACTCACTAAATCTTGACATAATAAAATTTAGGATATTGTTGGTGAGGATTTTAGCTTGAAGGACATGCAACCACAGTTCTTTTTTTCTAGTTCTTATGAAAATTCTGCTGCCTGTCTTCTGGTTTGTTTCGCCCTGTCGTCTCTTACAACTGTTAATTATTATCACTTGACTTTTCCTCCGATCTCGGCTTAACGTCGACTTCTGTTTCTGTGACACCTATATGACGTAGTGGATATTCTTACACCCCTACAACATGGTCAACTGTAACTTAAACTTCTACAACAACCAGTTGTTAATCTAGGTTGCGCTAGAATGTTCCGCATTCCGGTTTCGGATTACCTTTTAAAATACTCCACAAATCCCAATTGACACTATGAGATTGTGCACAATGATACAGGTTTTTTTTTCTTCAAAATCGACAGGATCGATTTCTGTCTAGGGAGATTAATTTTTGAAAAATCTTAGTTTACACCGTTAGGTTTTTTCAAAATGGGCCTCGAGACTCATTTGTAAATTTTTCGTTATACTTATACTTTCGGATTTGGCCATCTATGTCCAGTAGAAAATTTAACCTTTTTTTTTAACTTTGTAACTTACGCGAGAAAACAGTAATACTATTTGTATGGGTTACATCTGTTAACAAAATTTAGTCCGATCCTCAGACCTGGCGTGCACTCACGCGCACATCTTTCTTGATAATTCTTTCGTAAAAGTTTACTGCTGGATATACATATACACCGAAAACATATTGCTGGTTGCAAATGATTTTAGATGCATGTGAACGTGAGTCCGTGTTACAATAAGTTGAGCATAGTTTTGGTTCATTCATAGTTTGATTTTGCATCACTGGATATATGAAATGTAATCATGTTAACAAATACAGAATCTTTATGATTTTTATATTAATTTGTTGATTTCCTTTTAAGGTTCGCTCAGTTAACTGTCATTTTAGTCCCAGTACTTAAAAAAAGAGTACAAAGTTATATAACTATTTTTATCTATGCTTAAGATTTTATTGTAGGAGAATGCAGCATTATGTGATGAAGTGGCTAAAATACAAGAAAATATACTTATGGTTAAAGACGAACGAAAATTTTTATTGCGTAAGTTATTGGAGTACGAAAATGAAATTGAATTGAAACAACAAACAAGTTATTACAGAGAATCTATGACACAAAATGGTTCTAAAGCTAAACCCAAGAAGAGACGAAGCCTAGAAGACAATGGAAAAACGATATCTTCAAATTGTTAAGTTTTGCTCAAAAAATTGAACAATGCTGTAAAGTTTAACTTGATTAAATAAATATTTTTTATAATAAGTTTATAACTTGTATTTTTTTACCTGCCACTATTTCAATTTTTTATCAGTATGAACTAGCTATTTCCCACGACTTTGTCCTTGTAGACTGGTTTAAGGTGTTCTTCAAATTGGAATCCTCCCCAACGATATCCTACTAGATAGGTTCCCAAAAAAATTCAATTTAGCAGCCAAACCTCGAAAACCGTTGTTTCCTTTTGAGATGTGATTTATATTTTAAGATTTGGTCTGGTTGGATTGTGGTTGGTAAATTAAAGTCACCAATTGGTGACTTTAATTTACCGACATTAATACATTGCTCTTTTGGAACCGGAGTTATTCATATGTCTGATTTTGCCTGTCTTTCACTGTGAAATATGTGTCAAGCTTTAGAAAGTAGTGACCGTGTAGTGACTGTGAATTAAAAAAAACGTGTGCAGATCGCACGCGGTCAAAGTGAAACTTTCAAATATAAAACAAAAACATTTCACAGCAGATGATTTACTTAATTTGATAATTTTCAACCACAAGTGCGGTATAAAATATAAGATACGTAATTTTAAATTTCGCAGATAAATGTTGCAATCGAGTAATTATCAAAACAAATGTACATGCATAAAAAATAAAGCGTTGTTAATTTAAAAAAAATTTAATTTGATAAATTTGTCTTCTTTTTTGCCAGTTATGGAGCCGTGGTAGCTCAGATGGTTAGCGCTCGCTGTAAATTTCACAATACGCGAGCAAACCGGGTTCGATCCCCGCCGGCACCAATGAAATTGTTAATTGCAATTTTAAGTGCTGATTTACCACGTGCTCGGCGGTGAAGGAAAACATCGTGAGGAAACCTGCATGTCTGAGAAGTGAGAAATAAGAAAAAATATTTCGAAGACATGTGAAGTTCGCCAACACGCATTGGGACAGCGCGGCGGACTATTCCTTGCCCTAAAACCCTCTCAGAAATGAGAGGAGGCCTGTGCCCAGCAGTGGGACGTATATAGGCTGTAACTTTACTTTACTTTACTTTTTTGCCAGTTATCAGATTAAATCTAATGGTAATATAATGTTATATGTAAATCTGATGGAAATATATCGTTTGAAAACAAAAATAGCAAGTTATTATTCCTCTTTAATCACAATGAAATATTACTTTTTACCGGCGATTTTTTTCTTCTCTTCTTTTACCACTTTTTCTACATAATATACTTCTAATATAGTCGAATATACAGGCTGTCCCAGGAAACCTGTACCAGCGAAGGTATGTGGTCTGGGGACACCAATAACTATCGATTGGACCCCATGTATGTTGCGCGATTATTTGTAGTTTTCGAGATATGATGTTTTTTGTTATATTTTCAGTTTTTTTTAAATTTTAGACGATTTTAGCTCAGTATAACTTTTCCTGTGAAGTAATGCTTAGAGATTTTTTTTGTTAGTATTATAGCTAGTATATGTGTTCGTCTGTAAAAACACTAAACACCAAAATTCTAATTATTAGTAGCTCAGATTTAGCTCACAAAATTAAAATTTATGCTTGAGAGATATTTCTATTTGATTTCAACTTGAAAAAAAAAATTACTTAACCCTAACTGCATAACTTCCTGATAATTTCAAAAACTTAATGGGTTTTTTAGCTCTCAAAGTATTACAAAGTAGTTGGTACTTTATGTAATATTTATAAAAGTCGGAGAGAACAAAAAGAACGTAACGAAATCTCTCCGTTTATTCCACAATGAATTCGCTGTATTATCTCAATTTACCCGCCACCTATATAATCAGTCTTAACCTACTACCTTACAGTACACTCCTCTACACTTATTTATTACTATGCTAATCTTAAATATAACTTAACTGCTTAACATTATTGTATCAGCGTTTAATCAATAATAAGGTTTTTGAGTCTACATTGCCTTATAGGGCGACTCCGAGGCTCTGTGAGCGGTACAACGTTTGGCAAGGTATCTATACGCCTGTGAACCCGGGTTCTCACTGGTCGTCTCTCTTGCCGACTCCTTTAAGTCGATTTCAGCCTCTGAGGTTTCTAACACCCCACGGTCATCCCGATCCGCGACCGACCGGGCTGAGCCTTTCCCACCTCTGGTGTCACCGTCGGCTCGTTGTTTGAATTTGTGCTGCAACCTGACTGAGGATCATTGTAAGGACCCCCACGGTCATCCCGATCCGCGACCGACCGGGCTGAGCCTTTCCCACCTCTGGTGTCACCGTCGGCTCGTTGGTTGAATTTGTGCTGCAACCTGACTGAGGATCATTGTAAGGACATGTCATAGATGTCCTTAAAGATATCCTTTTTAATTGGTCTATATGGCTATGAATTATTTCCCCACCTTTTGCCTTAATTGTATAGCTATTAGGACCCCTAACGTCTACTACTTGACCACTGCCCCACTTTTCCCCTTTCAAGTATTGTCTATACCAAACATCTTCCGAAGGATTCAGTTTCCTGTCTCCTCCTTTGGCTAAGTATTTCTGGTGTCGTTGCACCTTATAAATCCTGTTTTCCCTGTCTGGTTTTAAAATATCTCGTCTACCTAACAATAACCTAACGGGACTCTCCAGTGGTTGATTGCTCCGTATTCCTATAATATAGCAAAAAAGTTTGTAGTGCCCTGTCTACGTTTTGTTTTTCCTGCACCGCTTTCTTTATAACCCGCTTCAAGGTTCTTACCGCGTTATCAGCTAACCCGTGCGAAGCAGGGTGATACGGAGCCGTGAAAATATGATCGATACCGTGACTGCACATGAAGTTATTGAATTCTATACTTGAGAACGGGGGACCGTAGTCCGTCACGATTTGTACGACTGAAAAGTTCCCTTAACTTATCTATTACCCCCGTGGCTGCCGTACTCGCTACTTGATAGACTTCTAGCCATTTTGACATCGTATCGACCCCTACCAAGTACGTTTTTCAAAAACGGGCCCCATAAAATCTAAATGTATCCTTGACCAAGGACGATTGGGCCATTGCCACATACGAGGCGTCTGTTTTGGCGGAGCATCCGCCTGCGCCGCGCATATCTCGCACTCCCGGCATATCCGCTCCACCGCCTCGTCCACACCGGCCCACCAAACATAGCTTCGAGCTATGGCCTTGGATTTGACAATGCCCATATGAGGTTCGTGAATCATACATAAAACTTTTTCCTTACGGCGTACGGCTTACGTTTAGAGGACACGTTGGCCAACACAGTGGCGAATGTAGTGGCTAATAGCATTGGCCAACGTGTAGAGCGGGTGTTTGGGCTTCATTGGTATGTATTGGAACGATGTCCCACAAGTTGGCGCGAGATCCGTGTGGTGTCGGTTTTTTACAAAAGATCAAAGGATTGTTGGCAGAGTTTGGTCGCCGCGTCCACACGTTGGGCGCGCGTTTAGTTTGCTACATGCTCTCAGAATGATTCCACGCATTTGATAAAAGTTTTATATTCACGCGTTGTAGGGTGGATGCCCCAATTACCAGCCTTTTAGTGCCAGTTTCAACTTTAAACATTCCTATTACTTTAATTAGCGCGATTTAATTATTTTTAAATATTTGTTTTAATCGATAAGCTATTTATAAAAAAAAACCATTTATTTACAATCAGATTATTACGAGAACAATTTTAAAATGAAAAAAAAATTAAGCACCTCGTTTATACGTGGTAGAACCATGCAGTAATATTAGAAGTATAGTTGTAGCACGAAATGGTCGGCTCGACCGGGGAAGGACCACGCTCTCACAGAATCATCATCATCATCATCATCATCATTACAGCCCTTCACAAGTCCACTGCTGAATATAGGCCTCCCCCAAGTAACGCACACAGAATATCAGCGTAAAATAGTAGTTTAATGATGCTGTGTTTCGTATAGTGAGTGTAGAGAACCAGGGACACTTTAAAGGAAACGAGGCATTTCATCTTAGTCCTCACAGGAGTAGTTACGTTTTACCAGTTCTGGCTCACTGAGTCAGAAGTGGTACAAGTACGACGTTCGTCGACTCACGATCTTAAAAAAAAAAGTTTTGGCATGCTCTGATCACGAATCTGCGGTCCATTTTTGCGTAGGATGCACGGTTCCGGAGATGTGCAGATCAATTAACTCTTATCTAATTGATATCCGGTGAAGACCTCCACCGTCATTAGCGTGTAGGTGTGCTGCACATGTAAACTTCGCAATGTTGTATTGTAACTATATTATGTAGTGAATAAGATTTTTCAACCAGTCACTAGTTGCCCGCCAACTGTATGGCACGTTCCGCTATAATAAATATATTAGTAAAAGATTTAATCTTTCATTATGGTCACCAATAGGCACCCATATGGAGTCAGCTCCTAAACTGGTGACCCCGACGTGATCAAGATGACCGAAGTGGTCTATGTGATGTTAATGCAGTAGTGGGCAATATTCGCGTGGTTGTGATCGGTGGACAATAGATATAGTAACATGAGTGCGCCGTTTCCGCCTACGTTACAGAACGTGCCGCCTGTTAACGTGCCACCCGTTCAAGACATCCAGCCACCTGCGCAACCGCCCATTATGGCGCCAGGTGTAGATGCAGTGTCCCTACAGTCTCGCCTCGCAGACTTTTGGACGGACCAGCCACGCGTATGGTTCGTACGCACGGAAGCTATCCTCGCACCTCAGAGGTTGAGTGATGAGGCGAAGTTTGACCTGGTCGTGTCTAAGTTAAGTAAGGAGGTTATCGCGCAAGTGACGGACATATTACTCAACCCGCCTCCTACCTACAAGTACGACGCACTCAAAGCTCGGCTACTCCACATCTATGAGGAGTCAATGTCGAGGCAGATCGAGAAGCTTATGAGCGAGCTAGAGCTGGGCGACCAGAAACCATCTCAGCTGCTTCGGCGGATGCGTGAGCTCGCTACTGACAAGGTTCCTGATGAAACCCTTCGCGTCTTGTGGCAGGGTCGTCTTCCGACACAAGTCCGAGCCGTGC